TGTGTTTCTTTCTCAAAATTGCTGAGGCTATTCGGGGTTGTTTATGGTTCCATATACATTTTTGAAATGTCTGTTCTATTTCTGTGAAATATGTCATTGGTATATTAATAGTGATTGTGTTGAATCTATAACTTGCTTTGGGTAGTATGGACATTTTGATGATATTAATTCTTCTAATCCATGAACACGGCATATGCTTCCATTTATTTGTGTCTTCCTTAATTTCTTTCTTCAATGTTGTATAGTTTTCTGTGTACAGGTCTTTTGTGTCTTTGGTTAAATTTATGCCTAGGTACTTTATTTTTCATCTTGCTATATCGAATGGTAAGTTTTTTTTTCTGATTTCTTCTTTTTCTATTGCATTGCTGGTGTACAAAAACGCCTTTGATTTCTGAATGTTGACTTTGTATCCTGCTGTTTTGCCAAATTCACTTATTAGGTTGAGGAGTTTTTTGGTAGAGTCTACACGGTTCTCTATGTACACTATCATGTCATCTGCAAACAATGATAGCTTTACTTCCTCCTTTCCTATTTGGATGCCTTTTATCTCTTTCTCTTGGCTGACCGCTGTGGCTAGGACTTCCAATACGATGTTGAAAAGAAGCGGTGAGAGCGGACATCCTTGGCGTGTTCCCGATCTTAGCGGGAAAGCTTTCAGTTTTTGCCCGTTGAGTATGATATTGGCTGTAGGTTTTTAATATATGGCCTTTATTATTTTGAGGAATGCCCCATTTATTCCCATTTTGCTGAGTGTTTTGATCATAAATGGGTGCTGTACCTTATCAAATGCTTTTTCTGCATCTATTGAGATGATCATGTGGTTTTTGTCTTTTCTTTTATTTATGTGATGTATCACGTTTACTGATTTGCATATATTGAACCATCCCTGCATCCCTGGGATGAATCCCACTTGATCGTGGTGGATAATCTTTTTAATGTATTGCTGGATGCGGTTTGCCAATATTTTGTTGAGGATTTTAGCATGTATGTTCATCAGTGAAATTGGCCTGTAGTTTTCTTTCTTTGTAGGGTCTTTATCTGGTTTTGGGATCAGGGTGATGCCGGCCTCATAGAAAGAGTCTGGGAGTCTTCCCTCCTCTTGGATTTTTTGGAATAGTCTGAGAAGGACAGGGATTAGCTCTTCCTTAAATGTTTTGTAAAATTCTCCTGTGAAACTGTCCAGCCCTGGGCTTTTGTGTGCTGGGAGTTTCTTGATGACTGCTTCAATTTCCCCAGCTGTTATCGGTCTGTTCAAGCTTTCTGTTTCTTCCTCCTTCAGTGTTGGAAGATTATACTTTTCTAAAAATTTGTCCATTTCATCAAGATTTTCAAATTTCTTGGCATATAATTGTTGATAGTAGTTTCTGACGATCTTTTGTATTTTGTGGTATCAGTTGTTATTTCTCCTCTTTCATTTCTGATATTATTAATTTGGGTCCTCTCCCTTTTTTTCTTCATGAGTCTGCTTAAAGGCTTGTCAATTTTATTTATCTTTTCAAAGAACCAGCTTCTGGATTGGTTGATCCTCTGAATTGTTCTTTTTGTCTCTGACAGAGAAATTCTTTTTCTTTCTACATGGAAGAGGAAAATTCCTGGCCTTGGAATGAAAGCACGTTTTTAAAATAATTCGCAATGAACCAACATCTCAATTAAAAAAAAAAAACTTTAAATGAAAACAGATTACTATCATCCAGAAGTGGGTTCAGTTTTATTCTTTGTTTTTGTTCTCTCTTTGGGTACTTTCAATTAAGAAAGATATTCTGGTCTACAGCACTTTTCAAATCTAGTTCTTTGACCTAACAGTGCCCTCTTCTGGTTCCATGATTCATATTCACCTAATTCATCAATGTTGAGAAAAGAAAAAAAGCTTAACTTGAAAAAGATGATGGGGAAAATTCATTTTGAAATCTAGAAGTAAATGGCCTTAGTTTTGCATTTTGCTATGACAAAAACAAACAAACAAAATCTAGTTGCAAGTATAATGGTAGTTTCCAAGGGCTGGGGAGAGGGGAAAATGGAAAGGTATGCTTAATGTGTATGAAAAATTTCTGGAGATTGTTTGCACATCATTGGTAATATACTTAACACTATAAAACTGTACACTACAATGGTTAAGTTGGTATATTTTGTTATATGTATTTTACAACTAAAAATAAAAATATATAAATACAGTTGAAATAGAAAGAGTCTAGGTTGATGGCAGCAGCTCTAAGTTGAGACTGTTTTCACCTCAAATCAAATGTTTACAGTAAGTCAAAGTTACCTGGATTTTATATAACATTTAATTCCTGTCATTTCACTAAAATAAGCACACATTTCTCTTAATTTATTAAAACTATAGCTAAAAAACAACTTCATTTCAATTTTTAAAGTGTTTAGTCTTGCAGATTTAGAGACCCATGTAAAAGACTGTAAAAATGTCACTTCATTTACTTTAGGAAATATTAAAATATTCTGCAATATAAAAAAAATAAAGACTCCAAGGTTTGGCTTCTATTGGGTTGAAAGCATGACATTAATTGAGATGAAAAACACTAGAAAAGGAACAAATGGAGTGCGACTGGCCTGGGTTGTAATACTGCTAACCATCTTGCAATGCACAGACAGTTCCCCCTCCCTCCCAAGGATGATCTGGCCTCAAATGTGTCAAGAATGAGAACCCTGGGTTGGAGTTCTTTCCTCTGACTTTGGCCAGTATTTTAGTCTTTGTTACAGACTTCGTTTCTTTATTACTCACTATTTTGTCTTTAGCCAACCTCTCTTTTCTCTGTATTTTCTTTTGGGGATAAAATCCCTTCCCATGACTTCAACTACCACATCTATGTTATTGATTCCCACATCTACATATTTAGTTCCATCCACCCTTCTAGCCCTAGAGCCTTGTTTCTCTTGATTTCCCCATCACACATTTCTATTAACCTACTGTTACATTTCCTGTCTTTATTAGTAGCATCTGATAGAAAACCACAGGGTCATTTATATTCCAAACATTTCCTGAGTATCTAGTTTGCATAAAGAGCTGTGCTGGTACCTTGAGGAAGGTAGTAATGGTGGAGGTGAGAGGCAATCATGGTTAGTAAGCACTTTAATTGCATTATCCCTGATTATGGCAATATTTCTGCAAGGAGAAAAATCATTACCACTTGGAAGCTAAATCTCGAAGTGTTTAATCAGCTATTTAAATATCACAAAGCTTGCATTTAGAAGAGGGTTTTGAAAGTCAGTTATATTTTGATATTAAAGATTGAACTATTTCTGTTTTTAAAATTTAAAAAAATGAGGACACTTATGACCCAGCGATTCTACTTCTGGGAATTTATCCCAAGAAACCCAAAACACTAATTTGAAAGAATATAAGTACCCCTATGTTTATTGCAGCATTTTTTACAATCGCCAAGATATGGGAGCAGCCCAAGTGTCCATCTGTAGATGAGTGGATAAAACAACTGTTAGAATGTACTGGGACATGGACCTAAGCCATCGCCTATGCTGGAACAAAGAAGGTATAGTCTCCAGCTAAATACCTGACCACAAGATTCCCCATATCCCTCCCCTCCCCTCTTCCTCCAGCTTTCTACAGAATCAGCCCTCCCTGATCCCAGGACATCGGGAGCAGATGGGCAGGGCGACTCAACATTCCCCAGGGGTCTGCTACACACCACAAAAGCCCTTCTCCCCTTTCCCTTGGGTCTGCAGTCCGTTATGACCCCTGCCTGAAAGTAGTGTCCCACCTCAAATAAAAGCCCTTAATTGGACTTTTGTGGCTCCAGATCCTTTCTTAGCCACCTCAGCTTACCTAACAACAACTGTGGGACATTTACACAATGGAATAGTACTGGGCTGTAAAAAAGAAGAAAATTTTACCCTTTGTGAAAGCACGGATGGACTTGGAGAACATTATGCTAAATTAAATAAGCCAGTCAGAGAAAGACAAATACCATATGATTTCACTCATATGTGGAATCTAATGAATAAACTGAGTTAACGAGCAAAATAGAGACAGACTCATAGATAGAGAGCAGGCTGGAGGGGGTGGTGAACGTGTGGAGGGATCCAGCAAAAAAGAGAAAGAACTCATTGTGGTGATTGGGGGCGGGAGGTGCAGGTGAAAGAGGATATAGGGGGGATAAACGGCAATGGAAAATACAATAAAATGAACTATTAAACACTTGAGGACAGTGCTGGAAATGTGCGGTCTAGTTTGTGCATAGCCAAATTGAGATGGTTATGAATGGTGAAGTTCCAGTGGCCTTTTCTTCCAGGCCAATTTGCACCCTCTCCTGGTTCCTTGCCATATGTTATAGAACATAAAACACTTCGACATGAAGATGAATGATTATTTTCCATAACTCTAGGAAAAAATAAACATTACCAATTAAAGTATGACGTCCATCAATTGTCCAAGATTTCCTAGATGCTGAAACATTTTTAAAAAGGTAAGCTTTCAGAAGTTTCTAATTTGTTACAATATGAAGAAAAGCATGATCTTAAATTCTATGACATACGGTAAATTTATTGCCCACATTCAATTTCCAAGGTCAGTGCTAGTTTGCTATTCTGCACTTCAGTCAGCTAACACGTTTGTGCATTGTGTTTTAAACGGTGGAGGTAGTTCCGCAGCTTTGTGTTCTGCATCTGCAACTCAATCCTAAAGCACTTAGCTCTTCAATAATTTCTTTGTTCGCCCGCCCCGCCCCTCACACTCCGTGCCATTCCGCTATCCACGCAGAGTTTATCATTCAGGAGTAAGCCTGAATTTCTTCTATTCATAAAATTGCATAGATTGTATAAGACCGCCCATAGATTTAGCTACACTATGGAGAGAAACGATGGAAAAGCATATTACATAAACGTATCGTTTAAGACCCATCCTCATAGAAACGTGAAAATGGGGTAGGGTAGGAAGATGGGGCGGAGGCGGAGAGGGGATATACGTCTCAGGATACAGGAAATACGGTAAGAGAGAGAAACCGGGAGGAAGCTCTGTGTCTGGAGGGGACCCGCCGCCATCTCAGGTCTCTTTGCCTCGGTAGGGCCCACCAGAGAAAGCTGACGCGTAGGTCCTATAATCCTTATGGGGGACCAACCTTGCACCTCTGGGAGATCCACACTCCCTCCTGGAAACACGCGGGAAACAAAGCCTCCAAAAAAGCGCTGTCTCCTAGCTCCACGGTGGGATTATCCAGAAGGGACCCCCAACGGAGGTAGTACCCCTCTCCCATCCGCACCTCCTCCTCCATCACCCGGCCTGAAGTCGCACCCTCCTCCTCCGGAGAAGTAGTAGAATATACTTCTCCCACCCTAAACCAGGTCAGATTCTTTCTCATCTGGGACATTCTGGCTCTCTGAAAGTTAACTACGCGTTTCCTACATTGCCTTCCCGTTTTCCCTGATCTCTCCACGATTTTAAAATTGAAGAAAGAATATACAGGCATTAAATAGTTCTTCCACAAAATATGCTTGGGTGAAATTTTGCATATTTAATGACATTAAGTAATTATTTTTAGTATATTAGTTGTGATAATTGTGGGTTATATTAAGGAGTACTCTTAAATGTTTTGATATACTTGAAAGTATTGTAATTTAATGGGATCGAGGTGGGGGTTACAAACAAAACGTTCATAATTTGATAACTATTAAAGGTAGGTGATGTATTTATGGGGATTCATTATAATGTTCTCACTACTTCTGTGTACATTTGAAACATTTCAGTTTAAAAATGCTTTAAGATCAATTACAATGTATTCAAGGCCTAATTCCCATACCTAGCACTGTGCGAAGAGAAGGTATTTATAAGGTGAGCTATAGAAGTGTATGATCATTTCCCTTTGTATGCTGTGAGAAATGAATAAGTAAAAACAAAGTTACAATGTGGCTTGTCAAAACCAAGTGCCACAATGTTTGCTTGTTGGAGCTAGGATGGACCCAGTCATTCTGGCTGGTAGTAATCATGAACTTTCAGAGAGGAAAAGGGAAATTTGGGTGAGCCTTAACGGGTGAGTTACATCTCCCTTGGGGAGGGGGACAGAATGTTTTTCAGGTCTAGTGTTTCTAGAACAAAAGCCCCAAGACAGGTTTGTTCTGCGAAGAGGTTGGCTGTAACTCTGAAATCTATGAGAAGGACTAGGAGGTGAGACAGAATAGTGCAGGGCCCTGAATGTTATGCTAAGTATTACGCAGTTTAATCCGTAAGCATGGCAACCATTGATGATTTTCAAGCAAGTGATGTATTTTAGGAATCTAGTTTTTTACTATCAGAAAAACAAATCTTCTATTTACATGAGCTTATAGAATGCAAAACATAAAACCAAATCTGGTGTAATTTTCACAGATCCTTGTCATCCAAAGGAGACAGGGCTTTTTCTTTCTTCATTTATGCAATAAACCTCCCTATGAAGCCCTTAAAATGGACTAGGCATTGTGCTGGCAGCTAGAAGGGGTGATGACCAAGGCATAGTATAAAGCCTGCTACATAGTAGGAGTGAAACAGACATTTGAATAAATAAACAAATGATAGGATAACAGTGGCAACTAAGCGGGTTCTGAATTTAGGGCTTGGTGGTATTGCATAGAAAATGAATAAGCTCTAGTTTACTTGAAAGCATTGCCAGGTCATTCCTTACAGCCTGAATTCCCTTAACTTTACTTCTGTGTCCAAACAGGTAGTGGTGGTAGGTAAGAGAATATAGGAATAGCAGTGTTCAGATAGAAAACAAAGGAGGTAGCATAGGACAGGAAGTGTGAAAGCTACATAATTCCCTCAAGTGATTCAAATCATTGAAAATTGTAGTAATAGTAAATATTTACTGAACATTTTTATGTGCCAGATACTATTCTAAAGGGTTTCCATAGTCTATGCTTAGTTAATTATGCTATCATTATTAATGCTATGCAATAAACCTTTTCTAATATGATATATACATATAACTCTTTTACATGAATTATAATTGAAATGGGAGAATGGTGGAGCATAAGGACTTGAGGAGACCAGGGGAAAGAGATAAACAGTAATAGAAAAAATTATTTTACCTTATTTACTATTTTTCAGTCTTTGAGGGATTTCAGTATGACTCCATTTTCTTGGTGCAGTCACAAAATAGTTTATTCAGTGAAGACAACGAAGATTATTGACAATGCTGACCTGCTTTTCCTGTTGTCCTGCACTGGGAAGTTGTGATTTTTAAGGTAATTTTTTTTAACCAAAAATTAAGGGGGGAAGAAAAGCAAGAGTTGATTATGACACTGAATTAATTATGACATTACAAATGACTAGCCAAGCAAAAAGCTATCACCAAATGATAAAGTTGAAACCATTTTCTACACTATATGAAACCATATATACCAACTAATAATGTTATCTATAATCTGTTTTGTTAGATTAACTCCTAATTACTTTATAGTTTCTGTTATTACTATGAAATGTATATTTTAAATCACATTTTCTGATTATTTCTGGTAAGTGGAAATATGATTGATATATTACATACTGATTTTATATGCTGCAACCTTTTAAAATTCTATTTTTTCTAATAATTTATGGATTCTCTGTTAATTATATTAGGAATAATGGCAATTTATTCCTGTCCAATATTTTTTAGCTCATCCAATATGTCTAGAAAATTTTTGGCTTGTTTTCTCTGTTAGCTATGCTCTTCAGTACAACAAAAAAATAGTAGAAGTGATGGAGGATTTCCTAGTCTTGCTACTGAACTTACAAGGGAAATTACAAATGTTTCATTATTTTTAGTAGATTTTATTTTTCAGCTTAAGGAAGTTCCCTTCTATTCTTAATTTGCTGAGAGTTTTTCTTATGGATGAGTATGGAGTATTTCCTCCAGATACTTTGTAAATATTTATTGCCATGATCATATGGGATTTTTCTCCATTAATATGCCAGTGTGACTATGATAAATTATGATAATTTCTAATACATCTCCTGTTTTTGGCTTCATCAGGTCTCACCGTTGAATATTTTGTTTTTTATTTTAGTAATTTTTGCTTTTATCTTTCTTCTTTACTTTCTGTTTGCTCTTCCGATTTATTTATTTGGACCTATAGACCAGTAATTTTCAATTTTCTTTTCTAAAATAATTTATGACTATAAATTTTTCACTATGTACCACTTTAAAAGAATTTCACAGGTTTTTATATGCAGCTAATTTATTATCATTCAGTTATTATTTTTCTGTTATGATTTCTTTTTGACTCATGAGTTACTTTTTTTTTAAAATTTACAAACACGTGTGTCTTTTTTAAAAATCATACTGTGAAATCAGTTCAATTACAGATGAACTTTATCTTATTTTCTGCTCTAAAGTGTTTAATGTTTTTTATCTTTCAGGTAACAAAAAATATATACACTGGCTCCTCATCCCAATAGATTTTGAAAATATAAAACTTTTTCTTTCATTAAATATGTAGGAAGAGAGTGATTATATTATTCAGTGGTAGAATTATTGCTGATATTTATGCTTGTGTTTTTAAACTTTTTACTTTTGATCTAATTCTACACAGAAAGAAAATTTGTAAGAATAGTACAACAAACTACCATATACACTTTACCCAAATTCACCAATTAACTCATTACCATGTTTGCTTTATCATTCTCTATTTCTAAAGTATTCTTTATCATTTTTTATCATTCCACTTCCCTCTCCCTTCCCTTTTTTCCTCTTCTCCTCCCCCACCTGTTTCTTTCCTCCACCTCCCCCTCTTCCTCTCTCCTCGTTCTTTCTCTCTCTCCCATATCCTCTCTCTGAACTATTTGAGAGTAACTTGGCAGACATCATTCATGCTTCTTTACATATAAATACTTCAGTGTATATATCCTCAAAACAATGTCTTTCTCTTACACAAACCTCAGTACTTGTAGCAAAATAAAAATTTGATATTGTTCCATAATGTTTATGGTCAAGATTACACACTCATGCTTACTGAAAAGGATGAGTTTGGGAAAGCATATATTTCAAATGGACAACATAAGCTGTGTTCTTCTTTCCAGCTTTATTGAAATATAGTTAACATTTTTGTAAGTTTACTATGATTATTTGTTATACATATGTATTACAGAATGATTAGCACAATATGGTTAGTTAACACATTAGTCATCTCCCATTATTACCATTTTTCGTGTGTGGTTAGAACTTTTAAGATCTACTCTTAGCAACTTTTAAATATGTAATACAGTATTGCTAACTATGGTCACTGTTCCATAGTATAAACTATAGTTATGTAACTATATATAATTATACTATAGTAAAATGTACATTATGCTATATATTAGATCCTGAGAAATTGTTATAGTTGAAGGTTTATACCTTTTAATCAACTGCAATTCCCCTAGCATCCCACCCTAGGAAACCACTAATGTACTCTGTCTAGAAATTAGGCTTTTTAAGATTTTATGCATAAGTGAGATTAAACAGAATTTGTCTTTCTCTGAATTATTTCACTTAGCTTAAGGTTCTCTAAGTTTATCTATTATGTCAGAAATGGCAGTACTACCTTTTTATGGCTGAATAATATTCCATTGTGTATATATATATACACCACATTTTCTTTGTCCAGTCACCTCTTTGTAGACATTTAGTTTGTTTCAATGTCTTGGTTATTATAAATAATGATGCAGTGAATATTGGGATGCAGATATCTTTTGGCAATAGTAATTTCATTTCCTTCAGCTGTATTCCCAGAAGTAGAATTGCTGAATCTCATGATATTCCTATTTTTAATTCTTTGAGGAACCTCCATACTGTTTTCCATAATACATGTAATAATTTACATGCCCACCAACAGTATACAATGGTTCCCTTTTCTCCATATCCATGCCAGCATTATCTCATCTTTTTATTCTATCATGTGACATATCTCATTGTAGTTTTGACTTGCATTTTCCTGACAATTAGTGATGCTGAGCAAATTTTCATGTACCTTTTGGCCATTTGAATGTCTTTGGCAAAATGTCTATTCAGGCCCTATGCACCTTTTTAAATTGGATTACTTAGTTTTCTCCCATTGCGTTGTATAAGATACTTACATTTTAGATATTAATTTCCTATCAGATATGTGGCTTGTGATTATCTTCTCTCATTACATAGGTTTTCCTTACAATCTGTTGATCATTTCTTTTGCTGTGCAGAAGCTTTTTAGTTTAATGTAGTCCCACTTGTTTATTTTTTTTTCTTTTATTGCTTTTCCTTTGGGTGTTATACCCATAAATTCATTGCAAAGACCAACGTAAGAATCTTTTTCACTATGTTTTTTCTAAGACTTTTATGTTTTCTGGTCTTACCTTAAGTCTTTAATTCATTGAGGTGAAAAAATTTTTGTGAGTGGTGTAAGATTGGGCTCCCATTTCATTCTTTTTCATGTGAATATCCAGTTTTTCCAGCATCATTTTTTTAATCTTTATTTTTTTTATTATTCCAGTACATTTATCTCCATTTACCCCACCACCACTCTCCCCTCCTTGGCTTCGTCCATGTGTCCTTCACACATCTTCCTTGATCTGACCCTTCCCCTTCCCGCTACCCCCCTCCTTCCCGTCCTTTTCAGTTTCTTCTTTCAATGTTGCTGGTCATATCTTCCTTGCGTGCTTGCTTTATTGCTTAGGTTCCACTTATAGGTGAGATCATATAGTAGTTGTCTTTTACCACCTGGCTTATTTCACTTAGCATAATGCTCTCTAGTTCCATCCATGCTGTCGCAAAGAGTAGTAGCTCTTTTCTTCTTTCTTTCTCCTTCCTTCCTTCCTCCCTCCTTCCCTCCCTCCCTCCCTCCCTTCCTTCCTGCTGTGTAGTATTCCATTGTGTAAATGTACCATAGTTTTTTGATCCATTCATTTACTGATGGACACTTAGGTTGTTTCCAGCACTTGGCTATTGTAAATTGTGCTGCTATGAACATTGGGGTGCATAGGTTCTTTTGAATGGGTGTTTTATGATTCTTAGTGTAGTCAAAAGGCAGTCCCATTTTTAGCTTTTTGAGGAAATTCCATACTGTTTTCCACAGTGGCTGCACCAGTCTGCATTCCCACCAACAGTGTACTTGGGTTCCCTTTTCTTTACAACCTTGCCAGCACCCATTGTTTTCCAGCATCATTTATTAAACAGACTGTGTTTTCTCCATTGAGTACTCTTAACTTCCTTTTCAAATATTAGGTGACCATATATATAGGGGTATATTTTTGGGCATTCGATTCTGTTCTATTGGTCTTTTTTTATGCCTGTACCATACTGTTCTTTTTTAATAAATTTTTGTTAAAGTATAGTAGCCATAAAATATTGTATTAGTTTCAGATGTACGATATAATGATTCAACATGTATATACCTTATGATGTGATCACCATACTATGACTAGTAACCGTCTGTTACCATATCAACTTATTACAGTGTTATTAATTATATTCTGTGTTGTATACTATATCCCCATGGCTCATTATTTTACCCCTGAAATTTTGTACCTCTTATTCCCCTTTATATTTTCACCTGCTTCCCAACCACCCACCCCTCTAGCAACCATTAGTTTATTTTCTGTATCTATGAGTCTGTTTTTGTTTTGTTTTATTCGTTTTATTTTTTAGATTCTCCATATATGTGAAAGCATAAGGCATTTTGTGTTTCTCTGTATTTTACTTAGCACAACACTCTCTAGATCCATTCATGTCATAGCAAATGGCAAAATTTCACTTTTTATCACTATTATTCCATCACGCGTGTATCACATCTTCTTTTTTAAAGATTTTATTTATTTATTTTTAGAGAGGGGGAGGAAGGGAGAAAGAGGGGGAGAAAAACATCGATGTGCAAGAGATACATCAATTGGTTGCCTCTTGCATGCCCCCAGCTGGGGACCTGTCAAACAACCCAGGCATGTACCCTGACTGGGAATCAAACCGGTGAACTTTCAGTTCTCAGGCCCTCACTCAATCCCCTGAGCCACACCAGCCAGGGCTGTAAAACATCTTTATCCATTCATCTGTCAATGGACACCTAGGTTGCATTCATACCTTGGATATTGTGAATAATGCTGTAATACGCAGGGAGGTGCATATGTATGTTAAAATTGGTGTTTTCATTTTTATTTGGTAAATACTCCGAAATAGAATTGCTGGGTTGTATGATAGTTTTATTTTTAATTTTTTGAGGAATCTCCAAACTGTTTTCCACATAGGGTACACCAACTT